TCTTCTCATGTAGGAACTTCTATGCCGATTCCAACATGGCCAAGAACACCTTAGCACATGGCTCGCTCCTCCTCCTCATCTCCCGCTCGACCTGAGAGGTCTTCCAAAGAACATTGCATCCTCATAGTCACCTAACCATCCTTCTACCCCCGCCATCACCATCAAATGCCTCCAAGCTGCCTCACGACCTCCTCTCTCTAGGGACGATAGGCTTCACCATGGTACACCACACGGGTATAGTTTGGCATAAATCCAAACTTGCAAAAGATGCTTCATCATGACTTCCTTTTTTTTCTTTTCTTGTTTTCACAATCATTCAAGTAGGACAGAACATGTCTCTCGCTTCCTTTAGCTTCCTTAAATGCATGGTCCAAGAATTTCTTGGTCTTATCCATCCATTCACGGGTGATTTGAGCCTTGATTTTGGGCGCCCCATGTACATCCACTCACAGCTTCTCCATCATCTAGCATATACACATAACGAGCAATATCATATACACATAACGGAGTAATATAACCATCTGGGTTGCATACACGTGGCGATCAAGTGTCTGTCTAATAGGTGAGGATAGGTCCTACAATCTCACTTTTAGCGGATGCGTAGATGAGGTTAGTTTCCATGTTACTACTCGATCCAAGATGCAGATTTTGTAGTATTCTTCCTCTTTGTTCTCCCGATACATCCTAGAAGGAGAGTGTATCCGGAGAACAACAGAGGTGTGCTTGAAACCCGCTCTTGGATCCGAGCGAAATAAGGAAACTAAACTTATCTACGCATCCACCTGCTATCAGTAAACGTGGACAATCCAAAGCGGTAACGGTCATAGATATGCAAAGATCCGCATACATACCTCCAACCGTGTCTGCTTTTGGATGGGAGACGCTTATAATCCGGATTACGCATTTACAATCGTAAGCAAGAAAGGTCAATTATACCTAGGGTATGGCGGAGAAAGGCTAAAGTGCGATGGCAAGACGTAAGCAGATCTTGGCTGCACGATCGCTTGTGTCACGACGAAGACGCATCGAGATCGCCGAGAGTGCTCACAGGTCCCCTCAAAGCGGCCCTACTGCGCAAAGAAGAAACACATCACTATTACTTGAAAAATTGACGGCAACTCTCCCTATACTGGGGAGGTTTCAAAACTCCGCAAAAAAGCCGTACGCTGGCCGATGTTCACATTTTGGGCACGATGGCCCACACATACACAAAACCAAAGACGTAAGGTCGTCCAACACAAACGGCACCAAGGCCGGCACCGGAGCCTTTACCTTTTTCTCCACGGCGAGGGATGGGGACATGGCCAGGCGTGGAGCCTGATCTGATGAGGTCACGGGGATGATGGAGTGGGACGAACGCCGCCGACGAATGGCGTGAACAGGTCACCGGACCGAGGTCCGCCTCCTCCTCCCCCTTGTCCTTCCTCTCCTCCTTCTTCTTCTTCATCCTTCCTCCTTCTCCTTCTTCTTCCTCCTCCTCCTCCCTTCTCCTTCTTCCTCCTCCCTTCTCCTTCTCCTCCTTCTCCTTCTTCCTTCTCCTTCTCCTTCTCCCACCTCCTTCTCCTCCTCCCTTCTTTCTCCCTCCTCCTCTCTCAGGGGCAGCCGGGCGCGGGGCACGCACCTGCCACGGCTCCTCCTCTCTCAGAGGGAGGCTGGCCAGTAAGCAAGTGTGGGGCGGCCACCGAGGCTGTAATGGGGCAGGCAAGGTAGGCGTAGGTGCTGCCGAGGGGATTCGTCGCAAGGCAGTGTGGCCGGGGCGGCGTGAGGCCATACAGCCGTGGGCGGGGGGACGTGGGGCCTGGTACGTGGTAGAGAAGTAGCGTACATGGGTCTGGCCCGGCAGGGAGCAATGAAGTGTGAGAGTGTGTGCATGAATGAGGATAGGGTAGGAGGAGGATAGCCATGGGCCCTTATTCCGAAGGGATTTTTTGAAATATCTTTTCTTGAAGTCTAGCAGCTGGCATTTCGGCAAAGGCCTCTTGCCGAGAGTGTGCATGGCATTTTCTGACAAGTATTTATGTTTTTTAATTTTTATTTCAAAAATTTGTAGACCTTATCTATTATTTACAAGCACATGTTTCAATTTGGGACCTTTTATAACTGATTTTTGCCATATTTCTTGAATTAATTTTGTTTACTTGCATTTTTTTGAAAAAGTAAATTTGAGGTAGCAGTGCATGTGGAGGCTATAATGAAGCTATAGCCATTCAAAAATGCTATAGTCATATTTATGAGGGGTACCTCCATAGGCACGTGTGTATGACTACCTGAAATTTTATGAGCATGTCTAGGTTTTAGCTTCCAAACATGTAGCGACCACTTTCTACTTGGGTGTTCTCAAATTTATATTAGAAAATGCACAAGCGAGTCACAAAACTCGAGAAACTTGTGAAGGATTTCGTCCGTGTGATATAATTTAGACACTATGATAAAAAAGTTCAGAAAGTTTTGAGCAGAGTTGCGATTTGGATCGAGTTCTGCAAATGGCCCAGTTAATCTCCACTCTACAACATGATCTATCGTGGTTGAGATGTCTACATTTCAGGCATCGACGCCATGCAACTCATAGCTTCAAATTTACTTTTAAGAAATCAATGGGTGAACAAAATTAATTCAAGAAACATCTGAAAAAGTTGGTAAAAAAATTAGTCCCAAATTTTAATATGTGTCTGTAAACAATAGATAAGGTCTTAGAAAAAATTTGAAATCAAAATTCAAAAAATAAAATATTTTATGAGTGCCATGCGACATTACGGCAAAGAGGCCTTCGCTGAAAAGTCTGTCATGCGCAGCTCTCAAGAAAGTAGCTCTTCTTTGCTTTGGTGTCGTGTTAAGCGCTTCGGTAAACATTTTTTTTGAAGATGCGTACTTGCTGTTATGGGTAATTTGGCTTGGCCCGACGGGCATTTTGCAAAGTGCTCTTTTGTCGAAGTGTTGCGCTCGCAAGAAAAGTCTTTACTGATGTCGAGTTGGGCGTGCTGTATCAAGCGCTAAGACGTGACTGCAAGACTTTAAGAAAGCCACTTCGTCTTAGAGGTGATTTTCGTGAGTGCAACACTTTCGGAAGAGGTATTACTTGCCAAAAGGCCCTATTTTCTGCCACTCGGACAAAGCATGCGCACTCGACAAATTTTGCTTCTCCAGGAGGATAGACGAGACGTATGTCCGTCCCTGACACGCCACTAAAAAAACCCTGGCACATGTGGTGAATTACGCTCCTCCCTCTCAGCTTTCTCATCGCATGTCCCATTCTACGCCACCACCCATAGCCACCACCATCCTCACACTTGTTGGGTTTTCTACTTCACTATGTTGTACTTAGTCCTCACTTCACAGACCAGCGGCGGCGAGGAGATGTAGTGTTATCAACAACAGGGCCTAGGGTTGGCATGGCAGATCCCGCTAGCCACCTGCCGAACCCACGCCACCATCCTCGGTTATCAGTGAGTCATTTGTTCCCCCAGCTCTGCTCTCTGTCATATGGAAGAAGTAGAAGCAGGGTGAAAAAAGCACTTGTCTTCATGACCCTATGTTTCATGAGGTTTTGATATTTTCTAGTGTCTTGCAATTGCTTCATATAGATGCTGTAAAAAGTAGATCGGATGTTACATATTTTGTAATTGTTGTACATGTGTATGTCATAAAGCTTCTATTCCTAATGTTTTGCTCTGCTTTTTGAGGAAGTATTTTGCAAAGTATGTGTTTATTTGGATGTTGCATATGTTTTTTCACACATATATTGCAAGTGTTTTATACCGATATTGCATATGTTTTACAGTTGGCTTTAGTATTTTGCAGAATGTTTACGGATGCATGTGTTTTCAGAAAGTGTCCACCGTATTTAGATGTATATTGCAAGTGTAAGCATCTGGTTATTTCAAAAAGTAGATTGGGAGTTTGTACCCCTCTCCTCATGTATACATTGTCTTGCCTGGGAGTGTCCTCCTCATTCCAAGTACCAAACTGAGGCATCTCAAACAGAAGAGGCGTGGGGCGGGCCCCTCCCCATGCCCCCCTCTCGGCGTGCTGGTTGAAACAATCAGTCATCCTAATGATGTAATCTAAATTAGATATAATGTTAGAATCACACATCCTGACATAGATCATTCAGACCACCTAATGGCGATGTAAGTATCCCCAGTTCCCTGTTTTTCCTTAATCAAAATAACAACATAATCATTTATTGAAGCAAGCAATATATAGCAGCAACAAAGGAAGATTGATTAGCAGACAGTAGGCTGTAGTTCTGAATAAAAAGCAATGTGTTTTTGTTGTTCGGAAGAAATCGACACCCTAATTTCTATAGAAGTTCAAAATCATATACTAACTATGCATCTTCTATAGCCCTAGAAACAGTTCATGATAATAGGTAGCATGTCACTTGTAGTCAGAAAATCGCTGAGAGATGCAAACGAGTTGGCGATCAATTTGCTACTGAAACCATCACTTCTCATTGGATGAAATTACCTAACTTTTGCCATTTGGTAAAGTAGTAATCAGTAGTCTCAGAAATATCAGCGGCAGGGGCTTAGTAGGAGCCAGAGTGCAGGGCAATCCCTACTGGCGGAGAGGTAAAAAGCCATGTCTAAATGCTGAAACGACCATGCATGTCAAACCGGTCTTCTTGCAAATGAACGGTTGCCAGCATTCACGATGAATGATCTCATGCAAATTAAAGCCAGCTGTCGATCTTCCGCAGGGCTGGACTAAAACTGAGCTAGTGCGTCACCCATAGTCGATTTCCCAGAACTGAAGCACGTGTACAATGAAGCCTCAGTGAACATATAAATACAAGAGTATTTTCCATAAATGCATCGATACAAGAGGAATAGAACTGGTAATAGAAGAAGCGAGTTTCAGGTTTCAGTTACTAGGTGCCTGGCTTCTGTAAGCTGTTAAGCCCTGTAGATGTCCGTGAAGGATTGCTCAAGCAGCGTCGTCATCCCGACCTTCCATCTGCCGGTGTTGTGAGAAGTTGACCCGGTGGATACCCGCAATCGATGTCGACTTCTCTGACCCTTCCATCTGCAGAAATTAGAAAACAGTTACACACCTGCTCCTACCAGTTATTACGGTCCCCAGAGGTAGAATTTTTCACGTCAGATTGGTACATTGAGTAAAAATCTCTATCCTGTCCACAGTGATTCGTGGATCCTAGAAACGCAACTGCCGGGGAGTTTTTTCTTTTGGTCCCATTTTTTTTCCACAGATGCGCAGCAACAAACAGGATAAAAAAATCCTGCAGTACCCCATACACTGGGAAGCAGAGGCGTCGAGCCTCAACGCATAAATAAGCAAGTATAATGGAACAAGCCATCCTTCAGCGATCTATTGTACTTGCCCAGAACAGGTTTCATTCCCACGCCTTTTAAGCCTAACAATGGGAAAAGCTGACCACACTGAGTTTCCACAGATTCCGAAAACTCCCTATCACTTTGATTCTTGACCACATATTCTCTACTCAAGCGAATAGGGCCGGATCATACATGGGAGGCGGAGCCCGAGGAGATGAGCAATACTTGTACCTGCTGGTGATCTGGGCAGGTTGCACTCCCCTTGCGGCCCAGTCCACGACAGCAAGCGAGCTCGGCGACGTCGTTCTT